CACTTATTTAATTATACGAGAAACTCAAACTGGATGATTGCTTATGTAAGCGCTATATAATTCAGTTCATAATCTGAAATGATGAAAGATAAACATAAAAGTAAAATGTTGTATCACATGCGTCATGTCAATGTCATAAACCCACCTGCTTTTTTAAAATATACATTGTACATTACCCAAAGTAAACATCACAGGTACAAAGGACTTAAGTATCAAGGACTACATATAAAATAATATAATGGCTGTGATCAGTAATGTGCATTCAGATTATTATATCACTTAAATAATAACAATAATTATACAAAAGCAGAAATAAAATTTGAGAATGCACTTACAGTTAAACAGTTTTTACAATTTCTTTTATTTGTATTTAAGTAATTTTTATAATAACCCTTGTACAGTACAACTACTACAATTTATCACAAGTATTTCGAGCCAAACTAGGGAGGCAATAGTAAAAGTGTTCAAATGATTGACTGGATTTTCTTGTTTATCAGAAAAGCACTGTCACACTGGCAGTTGTGATGCACACAGGGACTCTGGCATTAATATAATTTCATCCTTCCTTGTTAAGACACTGCTGTGATCCATCTGTCTATAACCTAATATCAATAGATGAAAGATGCTATAATAAAATGAGATGTATGTAAACACTTACAAACCAAAACCGTTACAATATATTATGTATATAAGTTACACTTATATTATAAAACATGAAAACTTATTACAAAGTCTTTACCCATATCCACAAATGTCATTGCTATAATGCGGATGGACATAAAATGTGTTGAACTCACTTTAGCTTAAGTGTCTTTTAATCTAATTTTTAACACTTAAATTACTAATTTGACACAATACATACATTTTACTTATATTTAAAAAATACCTGCATGTAATTATTTCTGTAACTGCATCTACAGGCCCTATCCCTGAATCCACCCAACCTAACCATATCACTAAACCTGTCACTAACCTTACCTTAATGCTGTGCAAAACAACATGAACACAATAAGTACAATGCACCAAATAAATACATAATTTAAAAAAAAAATACACATATTTGTTTTTGTTTTTTTGCTGTAAGTACATAGTAGTTAAATAATAATATAATATACAGTGGGACCAATGTGTATACTAATTTTAAACAGTAAGCTTGAAATATTTTCCAGTAACATAATGCAGGTTTTAAAATGTCAGTACATTAACTGGACCTTTTTTTAATGTTTTAAGTATGTTTTAGGTATACAGAAGTCTAGAACCACTAGGTGGGAAAAAATTCACAAAATGATTTTTTTTAAGTGTCTTAGTGAGTCTATTACTTAATTATAATTTGTTTCTGTATTTAACTACATTTTTTTTTATATGCAATATTAGATATTAAATACATATTACCCCAATAATGTTTGACCATATTTTTGGTCAAAAAAAAAAAAAAAAAAAAAGTATTACATTTTAAAACAATAATGTGATGTGAAAAAAAGAGAAATAAATATATAATGAAGGAAATAGACTCTGTAAGACTTGATTTTTACCATCTTGTGGATCAGTATCCAGTTGCAAGAAACTCCTTAAGTTATGCAAAAGTGTATTATCTCTAAAGGTTAACTTGAGGGTTTTGTGCGACTGAACAAGACCTTCTTTCTAAGTTGTATGTCGCCACCATGTGGTTATTTCCAAATATACACAAATACAGAAACCGTGTAGGCCTATTGGCCACGAAGCAATATAACAAATGAAAGCATCAAATATATAAAAAATAAAAATAAAAAAAAATTAGATGGACACTTGTCAGTAATATCTGACTTAAATCAATTACAAAGAGACGGGTGAGGGCAGAGTGTTTCTGGTCGAGAGAGAGAGAGAGAGAGAGAGATCACGTCATTTGCCCTGCCCACGCAGAGCAACAGCGAGTATTTCTGCCTTCAGTTCCTCTCACTACAGCACACTTGACTGGACACCGGCGACACCAACCAACTAACTACAGCAGAAAATGAACAACGGGGCGAATTACAAATGAAATAGAAATATATGCACCGAACCAATGTAGATTTTTACGACTGTTAAGCATGCAAGGGGTTAGCAACGTTTGAAATTCGTGTTCTACATAATTTCCAAGACAGTGAAAAAGGTCTACTAAATGGCACTTTTGATCGTGTGAGAAATCAGGTTTTGTCTTACCCGTAACACTGTTGTTGAAGAACTTTTTATAGTCACAACCGAACTCCTTAAACACGGAACAATACACACAATTCCTGGAAACGTCACAGTTGTCATAACAAACAAGAAAAAGTCAACAAGATTGTACATTCACTGGAAAGAAAAGATTAACATTGCATCTGTCAAGTTTTTGATTAAATGCAGATGTGAAGAAACACATTGTTTAAAGTTACATTACACCCTGTCCTGTATAATAATCTTCCTACATCGTGTACAAAACCATGTCACCTACTTTCACTTTTTAATCCAGTGTTACATAAACAGCTGGCATCTTTAAGCTAACTGCCCAAAGGTTTTGTGTTAGAACTCGTCAACACAAAGCATTCAGTGTTGGTCTGACTAAAGGCCGGTAATATGAATTTATACATCTACTCAATAGTGGCCACAAGGGGATTTGATTCGCCATCTGTCGAAGTCTCCCTCTCTCATATAGCATCCGACAGCGGCTTCTCTGATTGGCTGAAGTCAGAGATAAACCACACCCACTATCTTTAACCACTTGCCTTCGCGTACGCGCTGCGTTCGACAGAACGGTTGCCCGGTCGCCATCTTTGAATTCCAACAAGTTTTAAAAAATACAACGGCTATTTCCCCCCGCCTCGCTCGTTTACAAAGTGCTACTATATTTACCCCGCTAGCGACTCACGGATATTAAGACGATACCTCGAGCTGTATATGGGGATGATGGCGACGCGAGACAGCCGTTCCGAGCTACAGTATTTCCCGTAGATCCAGTCAGAAAAACAAAGCCACCATTGCCTCGAGTGATCCGAGCAAAGGACAACCCGTCCGCCATTTTAAAGCAAAATCGACAAGACAAATACCCTATCTAACGTTACGCACTCGTTAAGCACACAACACAAAAAATGCAATCTTTATAGTCAGACTGCTATGCATTTGTATAAATTATCATTGCCTAGGGAGGTTTATTTCACCAGACTAGCTCAACGGTATCCAGTTCCGCCAACTAATAACACCTAACGACATTATGAACAAAATGTTGCATTTCAGTCTGTTTTTTTGTCTCTCCGTTCGGCTAAATCCACAGGCGCCACTTGGCAATCTTTATGTGCAGATTGCGTTGATTGTTCCAGTGAGCTCTCTGAAAAGAATGCAGTTTATAAAAAGCCCCAATTGAATGCGGTCACTTCCTGGATCTGCCTGTGGCAATCTTTATGTACAGATTGCTTATGACTAGCTTATTATTCGATGATTTTTCGTTACTTTAATAATCATTAGGATTGCTCCGTCTCACACACAAAGAGAAGCAGGGCGTTGAAGCCGCTGCTTTGGCTTTGCGGTGAGCTCATACACTAGTCTCGCTTTATCTCAGCATGCTGCCTGCTTCTAGAAACTGTGGCGCATTTCGGTCGCCACGCTCGATACAGCTAGGAACTTTTAATCTCTATTTATATCGGGAATCGTTAACAGACAACTGGTTAACTGTTACGTAGTTTCGATTCAAATTGGTTTGAAAGAACACTTACTATTAATACCTCTCCTCTGCGTCTCGGGTTGCTATAAATATATTGTGCTTAACAGCAACAAATTTCAGCTTTTTAACAGTTTAAGAGAACGTAAACTGTCATGACTTTAGCATTATTGGCTGAAAAATGGCATAATGGGCGGGATTGTGGTGGCTGAAATTGAGCTTTTCCTTCTTGAACAATCTGGAGCAAAAAAGTAGTAAGCGAATGTCCGTTACTCGAGTAGAAAAAAATGAGTTTTTTTGGGCTTTGATCTTCGCACACAGTTGAAAAATCCTCGACGCCAGATCTTCACTGAGACCGACTCAGACCTGAAACGAAACAACAGCACAAAGAGACGTTAGAGAAAACGAGTATTTGGCGGCGGAAATCCAGAGAATAATCGAAAGGTCGTTTTTGTTGATAAAAAAACTGAAGTGGTAGCCGGACTTTGGGATAAAAATAGTCTTTTAAATCGCAAAAAGTGGAGAACCGCCCTCCGACACGGCACTTACCTCAGACAAATCCAGGAATGCTCTGGAAGGGCGGGACTCGGTATATATAGTTCTGACGTTTTTTGCGTCACCCGGGGCTCGTGCGCGCGCTTTCGGGCGTTTCTTTCAACACAAAAATGGAGTTGATGATCACGCGGTCCTGTCGCGCGCTCTCGAAACGACCTTCTGTGTGCTGAAGGACGCGCCCATCCCCCACCCCGTCTTCCGGTGCAAAGATAATCATTAATTTGTTGGAATTTTTGACATTTAAAAATGATGTAAGAATGTACTCCGCATCACTGTACAATAATATAGGCATATTCGTTTATGCACATTCAAGAACTAGCTATTTTGAGGTAGATTCAACCTTTATGTGAATTACTGTAATAAGTGTGGGTTAAAATGAGAAACAGACACTGGTCTATAATAGAGTTATAATATAATATATATAATAATATTGATCCGTGGAAACAGACAAGGTAAAGGATGGAAAATACTCTTTGTAATGTTTAATTCCTTTCATTATAACTGGTGGAGTTACATTGGGTTTATTTTCGATTATAGTACGTAGCATAACACACTGTATACATATATTATAAAACATTAATTCATTTAAATGATCATTTAATATATAACCACAAGTAATATTCCTATAAAAGAAAAGCAAAACATCGGCAAAAATGTATTAACTACACAGGCAAACTGGCGAACATGAGGGATCGTTTCAGGTTTCACAAACAAAAAATGCATTTTACATTGATTTTTGTCAGAAATATTTGACTAGTTGGTAAACTAAAAAACGAAAAAGTGAGAACAATAAATGCGCACTTCCGTCACAGGACACTTAACCGCTCAACAACTTCCTTTGCTACAAAGACAAAATGGCGGCCTCCTTACAACGAATTGGAATAGCTATCTGCCGCACATTTCCTGTCATTTTGCAACGAAAAATTCAAGCACAGGTTGGTTGGTTACCGATAAAATCTTTTTAATGAATGTTTTTATTTATACAGGATGTATAATTTTGTTTGTTGTGGTTAGAGGGCAGTCATTCGCGTGCAAACACCTCAACCAACATAAAGGACTATTTACGCGTTTTGTATTGCAGAGAATTCGTGATTGGACAATAACTTCAAGTGCTGCTCCAGGGCTGCGTCTGAAGTTTCGTGCTTTATCATCATCATCATCATCATCGTCTGCTGAAAACACAGAATCAGCCGAGACACTGTCTAGATATTCAGACAGACCATGGGAATACTTAGAAAGTGAAGGTGAATATGATTGATAATATGATTAAATGAAACACTTGTGGTGAAACAGTGCTTAATGTTGGTCAGACCTCTCTTGTAGAGTACATTGAGCGCTATGGATCAAAGCCTGTGTGGTCTAACTACAGACGGAATCATAAGGGGGGTGTCCCTCCTCAAAAGACAAGAAAGACCTGTATTGTAAGTACACATTTGTTTTAGATTGATTGTTCAGATGTTTTTTTTTTCAATCCATTTAATTTGTATTAATAAGAATGATTGTCTTGTCATAGAGAGGGGATAAGATATGTGGTAACCCTTGTCCCATCTGTCGTGATCCAAACATCATTGTCCATTACAAGGTGTGTTTTTCGATTCTGTCATGTTTTATTTCATGTGGAAAATGTAAATATTACACTTTAAATGTATTTGCTTTAATACACTTTTTTTTCTGCAGAATGTGAATCTGTTGCAGCAGTTCATTAGTCCTCAAACAGGAATTATGCACGATCCCACTCGAACCGGTAATGAATTTCTCAGTACATCATATTTCTGATATACTCGTGATCTGATCACCATTTTACTCTTAATCTTTCCTCAGGTGTGTGCATGAAACAACAGAAACTACTTAACAAGGCCATTGAAACTGCTAGAGATTGTGGTAAATTTACATTTTTTGTTATAAGTGTCAGTGTGCACAAGTCCTTTTATGAAAGAGCCTGAAGGGAATGATAAATCTCATTATTTGGTGCACAAGTGCTTAATGTGATTTGATTCTTTTCTCCTCTGTTTAAGGTTTACTTGCTGTTCAGTTACCTCATGTTGATTACTCTAAAGAGGACTACACAAACACTCATGGTGCTGTAGCACCAACCACTGCCCCATTTTCTCTCAGCTCTGGGGAACTGTGGTATTCGTGGTATGGTAGTATAAAACCAGATGAGCGAGAACTGGCAAGAGTGAAGCGGATCTACAAAGACTACCTGAAACCGGATGTTTGAATCTTGTTGCAATAGACCTTAGTCAGAGCAGATGCCATGTATTTTACATGCATGAAAATGAGGCAGTGAGGGATAGAGACTTACGGTCTTTACAATGTCATTTTTCAAACTCTTTATGGCGTTGTCTACTGAAAGCTTTTTGGAAAGACATTTCATTCGCTGAAAAATCGGTATGTTGTTAAACAGCAACTCATTAAACGCCATGTACTTCTATCCCTCAGCCTCGTTTTCTTTCCTGTCAAAAAATTACATATTGCGCGCTACCCTGATTAAGGTCTATCGAAAGAGTGGTTGTAATTTCAATTGTGGATGTTTCATCCAAATTATGTTTCCATAACAGTACTTAATATGAGCAAGAAGAAAATGTACATTTTCCATTCATGTTGTTACATTTTGTCCATGCAAGACAAGCATAATATAAGAAATCTCAAATAAAAGCACTAAATAAACTTGACTTTGTTGCAAAAATTATTTATTTGCTTTTTCCATGACATTTGGATGCATACTTTATTCAATTTTTTTTATTCAAATCAAGTTAGTCTATAGTTTATTTCATCATTCAAGACAGATGAGTTACAGGGAGCATCACTGTTTGAACATTTATATAGGTTAAACAATTTGGAGCTGCTTTAGAATGCAAGCATAATGACGATTTAATGACCTGAACCAAAGTACTCCTTACAAAGGCAGGTTAATACTAAATATATGCGTCAGCAATCGGACACCATTATCAAACTGCACACTGTTAGCCCCATCTGTTCACATTTGATAGTGACTGTTTTATAGCATTGCATCACACGGATGAACAGAGCTGGTAATGATATGGCCTGAATGTAAGCATAATACAAGAATGTCAGACATCATGACTAAAGAACAAGCGCTGTATGTATAAATTGTCAGCAAGTAAAAATAGTGATCTGGAATCAGTCTTCACGTGTAAAGTAAAAGACGTGAAAAACCCCATCCTGGTTCTGTAGGGTTTGTGTAGATTACCCTGCACCGTTTGCATGCAGGTGCTCAGCATAATCCATCAATTTCACAAGAAACTTTTTGGTTCTATTGAGGTTTAGTTAGATGCAACAAAAAGCCCTTTAGTGATGTAGTTTGACACTCTTGTTATTAATACCAGCCGTTGTTCATTCTTTAGGCTTGTTGACCAGGGTTTCTCCAAGAGCCTCCAGCACTTCTCTCTTGTATTCTTCAAAGTCTCCATCAATCTGGTTGATCGACTGGTCCTCGACCACCCACAGCTGGCACTGGGTCTCGGTGATCAGCCTGGCATCGTGGCTTACAATTATCACAGCTAAACACATTCATATTAAATGTTAATAATAATGATTTTACTCCCTGGTTTCCACCTTAATATTTATCATTATTGTATATAGTTTATAAATCTTATAGAACATGCACTTAAGATTATATACCACAACAAATAAAACATAGCGTTTGTGATCAATAATGTTTGGGGAAAAAACACATACCCCCTTTGTATTCGTTGATGGCTTCTGACAATGCATCAATCGACTCAATGTCCAAGTTATTTGTGGGCTCATCCTGTACATTTGCATGGACAGAAAATGTTAAAGCTCTCATTTTTACTTAAATTCTTGAGATTATTTAAAACATTTACTCCTTACCAAAATGAGGACGTCAGGTTGCCGACAAGCAAGTTCAGCAAATACCACTCTTGCTTTCTGACCACCTAAAAAACAAACACACAGGACAATTCAGAAAAAAATGTCAACGAAGGACAGATGACTTGGAAAACCATACACGAATGCATTCCTATAGTGCTTACCAGACAGTTTGGAGATCAGGATGGTGTGTGAGTGGCTCTCTAACCCAAAGCGACCCAGGCACTTCCTGGCATCCTGGTATTGGAGGTTGAAGTTCCTCTGGAGGTACTCTGTGGGAGACTCCTCCATGTTCAGCTGATCAGCATACTGCTGGTTGAAGAAACCTACTTTCTGCAGGCAGAGGCAGAAGAACGAAGCAATTAGCCAGTCAAGAAAAGGTTAAATAAAAAGAATGATAAAAATAATTATTTTAAACATCTGCCGTACCAATCGATGGTTCTTCCTCATCTCTCCTTTTGTCTAAAATGAAATAAAAAAAGAAGCTTCGTAATTAATTATATGAAGGAAACAAATCAACAAACATGGGGAAAAAACAAGTACCCATTTTTCCTCAAATAAATATTATAAATATATTTTTTTATTTTCATCTTTGTTTTTTTACAACTATGAGTTATTACTTAAAAATAAGTGGTACTTACAGGATTTAATTTTCCAGTCAAAAGCAGGAGGAGTGTACTTTTCCCAACTCCATTGGGTCCAACAATACATACTGAAACAGAGAAAGTTAACTCAAGCTAATTTGAAAACCATTAGAGTTTTCTAACATTGTCTTGTGCCGTTGTAATTAACCTGCTAGTCATAATTTCTATAGACGTGTGACTTACTTCTGGAATCCATATCTATACCAAAGTCCACATTCTTGAACAGAGGCTTCTGGCCTGCATAACCAAAGTCAACACCTGTGAGTGGAAGAGAGAATACACCAAACTGGTCGTCAGGTTTGATAAAAACAAGATGCTACAATGAGTGAAATTCACAAAAGACTCACTGTGCAGGCCGAGAATAGGCGGTGAGAGCGGAGGAGGGTTTGGGAAGGTGAATTTGACGGTATATTCTCTCGGCCTCTTGAGGAGCTCCGTGGCCTCATGGCTCTCCTCCTCCTGACCTTTCTTCTTCACCTTCTGCTGTTTCCTTGTCTGGGCATCTTTCGTCTGTTTCTCCTGAAAAAAGAATGACGGAGAATGATTGGCAGGGTTTGAGAAGACTAGAATCGTGAAGAACATGAGGAAAAAGTCAAGGACTTACAGCTTGCTTGGTGGACTTTCCACCAGCCTTCAGGTCTTTGAGCTTTTTCTCTTGTTTCTCGTACTGCTTCAGGAGTTCCTTCTGTTTCTGTACGTACATCTTCTTAAACGTCACTAGGAGACATCAAGCAAATATAAACTGCAGTAAGATAATTAAACTTCTTTCGGTAGATTTCATTTGTTGCTGTTCAGAAACGAAACTCACGGTAGTTGCCCCTGTAGTAGTAGAGTTTCTGGTTGTCCAGGTGAATGATATCTGTACAGACGTCATCTAAGAAACTCTGGTCGTGGGACACAATTAGAAGCGTTTTTTTCCAGCTCTGTAAGTAGCTAAAAGGGAAAATAAAAGATATGAGGTGATTTGTCAGTAGAATACAGCAATGACAAAGGTGCGACTGATATTCTACTGAAAATGCAGTAACAAGATCAAAAACACAGGAGCCTGACAACCTTTAGTGATGCAATCACTGTGTGACCACCCCTTAATACAATCAAGATTTAAAGTAGGCTATTTATAATTTGCACGGAATGTAAATACATCAGCTAGACGGGATTGTTTACTTAATAGCATCACTTAAAGCAAAAGTAATTACTTGTTAAGCCAGATGACAGCGTTAAGGTCCAAGTGGTTAGTGGGCTCGTCCAGCATCAGCAGAGTGGGCTCCATGAACAGCGCTCTGGAATGAAGACAACTTTTCTTATTCCTCATATCAATGTCATGTCAGAGTAGATTTTAATTTACTTTCATTTAATTAATTACTAAATGAATGCATTTTTTCCCTCATTGTGCCCACCTAGCCAGGGACACTCTCATCCTCCATCCACCAGAGAACTTCTTAGTGGGTCTGTTCTGCATCTCTGGAGTGAAAGACAAACCAGCCAAGATCCTACGAGCTTTAGCCTCCGCTGCAGCTGCTCCAATCGCCCTCAACTCCTCATAAACCTGTGAATCACACACACACACACACACACACACAGTTATCCTCCACTACTCCATGGATCAGTGTATTTAGAGGATCTCAGCGAGCTGCTCTCAATCTGACCTTGTCGAGTCTCTCAGACACGCCGTCGTCTCCTTTCTCCAGCCGACTCTGTAGCTGCCGTTCCTCCTCCAGGAGCTTCAGTCTGCGCGTGTCGGCCTTCAGCACCGCCTGAACTGCAGGAGTGTCGTCCGCCACCACCTCTGAGAAATGACAAAGAGAAAAAAATATCATGCTCAAAACATATTATATCATGCACAAAATAGATGGCTCAAATGAAAAAAGTTGGACACATAGGCTGCACCAGGGTTATTATAGTTAACTAAAACCATGAGAAACTATTTTTACTTGAAATAAAAATATTTCAGCTAGTAGGCAACATTTGTAATGTACTAAAATAACTAAAAATGACATAAAAATGAATAAAAATTATATTGACAAATTAAAAAAGCAAACATACTGAATGACAAAAACACATCAAAATGACCTAAATATTAACAAATTAAAGTGAAAATATATAAACATTATATATTAATAATACACTAATATATATGTGACCCTGGACCACAAAACCAGTCATAAGGGTCAATTTTGCGAGATTTATAAGATTCATAAGATTTCAAGAAGCTGAATAAATAAGCTTTCCATTGATGTATGGTTTGTTAGGATAGGACAATATTTGGCCGAGATACAACTATTTGAAAATCTGGAATCTGAGGGTGCAAAAAAATCTAAATATTGAGAAAATCGCCTTTAAAGTTGTCCAAATGAAGTTCTTAGCAATGCATATTACTAATCAAAAATTAAGTTTTAATATATTTACAGTAGGACATTTTCCAAATATCTTCATGGAACATGATCTTTACTTAATATCCTAATGTGTTTTGGCATAAAAGAAAAATCTATAATTTTGACCCATACAATGCATCTTTGGCTATTGCTACAAATATACCCCAGCGCAGAAAGACTGGTTTTGTGGTCCAGGGTCACATATGGGCTGTACATTACCTTGCTCACAAAGCAGCACATCAATATTGGGAGGAATGCTAAGTGCTCTGTTAGCAATGTGCTTCAGTAGAGTGGTCTTCCCTTTCCTGGTCCAAACAGGATACAGGTGTAAGAATACAGTTTTTACTAGAGAAACACTTCCGAACTGAACAATGCCTTACATGCAATGCAGTAATAAAGTAATGTGTCAAATTTAAACCATCATCAACCCACCCGTTTGGTCCAACCAGACCGTATCGCCTCCCAGCAACAATCAGAAGGTCGGCGTTAACAAACAGCTCTTTACCGTGGGCTGAAATGCTGAATCTTTCCAACTAAAAACAGATCATAGAAATGAGTACACAGTATTAAGTGCTTTTCAATGTCTCAGATGAGAGTTTCCCATTTGCGTAACCTTGATGTCCGAAGCGTTTTCCAGCATGGCCTGTCGAGAGGACAGCTCAGCCTGAGAGATGGAGAAGTCTCCCTCGATGGCATTCTGAGCTCGTACGCTAGCCACCTGCCGCTCATACTCCATCTGCACAACACAAGAGGAAGTGTCTACAATCGGTGTTGTTATTGTCAACTAAAACCATTAT